AAGGAGGATTGATAAAAAACGTGATACAATGTTAGCAGCCGGTATTGTCCAACCATTCTAATCACCGTGGGATTCACCAATAGTTTAGGTTAAAAAGGCACATAATAATAATAATTCCTACAGATTCTGCGTAGACTCCAGGAAGGTAAATGTAGAACTGAGCGAGATGCGTATCTTCTTCCTTACGTGACGGGCATACTAGATAAATTGCAAGACGCCAAATTTTTGTCACCTTCAGATATTAAATCTGCGTGTTGCTACTAATTCGAAACATTTTAGTAGGTTAGCATTTGGTTTTCACAACGGTCCAACAACGTGACGGCGATTTATTGATAAAGTCCTACTACCTACTTTACGTCGAGACAAATGTCCGTTTATGACTAAGCTTATGACTTTCTGAAATAAAGCTACCTGCTACTTACTCTTTTCTATTTTGTGTATCTATTCTATTCTATACTAAACGCATAATTAGCTAGCTGATGTGTCCATTCACAATGTTACCCACAAGGAGTTACGAAGGCTCCAAATTTATAAATTCTAGTTTTATTTCAAATATTTTCGGAAAAAAGACAGGAAATGTCAGTAAAAGAACGTGATTTATCGAAATGTGTACGTGATTAGAGCGACATACATTCTGGGGGTGGTTTCGGCGATGGGAGCAGAAGTTATCGGTAAAAACATTATGGAGCAGCGAAATTAATGCGGTCCGAAGCTTTTATGCCGTTTTAAAAGTTGTTTTTAACATTAATACTTTATGGAAAGTGTGTTTTATAGAGTTGCCCTTTTAGCAATACCTTTGACACACCTTAAATCCAAATACTATACGTCCCTTTCATTGACACAACAGCGTTCGTAATTTATCGCATATCCTTTTATGTCGTTACAATACAAATTGTTTTCTTCATTGTTGCACAAACTGTTTAAAATATATCACATATGGTTAGAGCTTTACAAAACGGCGACATGCTCAATTGTAGAAGTTGGGTGACCACAGTGGAAACGCAAATTAGACAAAACTTATGGGTATGTGCGGGTCGTTTAGCAATCCTTCACGGTCTTTCCATATAATGAATATAGGTCATAGCGTGTACACAATTGCAATAAGCCAAACTGGAAACTTTTACCACCCACCCTCTGGCTATTTATCTGTCTAAGATAATATAAAGCTTCCTAGTTTCGCTTACTATGTTGGGTCTGCCGACAACGAGAATTGCAGTTAGCGATACGGCCCAATCGTGACGGAAACTCAAAATAATTAACTACTCACTGCATCGCAGATAAACTAGAAAGGGGTTGTTGGAATAATATATTGACGTCAAACCGCAGATGCACGGGCGGCGAATATTCAATAACTCAATAATATGATTCGAGAGGAGCTTGTGGTATTTAAAGATATGTTTAACGATATTTTGTAGTATTAGATGAAATAAATGAATCTTCCCCAGATTCATGTAAATATAGACAAACTGCTTCAGAATACGCAGATTGAAGTTAAAAATATGTTGATGTTATCCTCTAGTAGGAACGTCGCCGGTAAATCCGTTTAAATAGCCTATTTACTTGTAATCGGATTACTGTAGCGAAATGTAATTTTGGTAATCGTAATCCCTTGTGACTTTCGACTGCTTAATTTGAAAGTAGTTCCTTCATATAACGACTGTTCCCTTGCGAGTGGATTAAACGTTATCACGTAGGTATTAACTTTTGAGATTTGGAATTAATTTGTGGCATGGATTATTACAACGTGTCCAAATTCAAGCAAATCCCTGTCGAGGGCTAAATCTTTTTAATTATATTTACTGTCTTAAACAGAAATTTGCGACGAACTTGTTTAGGTGAAAATTTAGGTAGGCCTAACGTACACTGACCTAATTGTCGAACGGGAATAATTTATGAAGCCTGAAATTTTTAAATTGAACTGAAAATGTAAAATACGTAACTGTTGTTGCAATTCAATTAAGTTTTCGTTCTCGAACAAATCCCTGATGATCTCAAAGCAACATCCCTGGCTGTAAAAAAAGCCTCGTCTCATATCCACCAACATGAATCGAATTAAAGTATACAGTCCTGTGCTACAGAATTATTTCGGTTGGTCAGGACTTTTGTCTTCGACATTCGTGTACTTAGATTTTATTAGCTACATCACCTTTGTAGGAAACTGACCGTATCATCCCCAAGTCTTTCAACATACATCAATATTGCAGTGCCCATTTATCCAATTAAAATATTAGTATGTGTTGTTGTTAATTATTAAACCACGCCAGTTACAACAAATATCAATTAAAGGATAACCTACTTCATAAATCATCAATTTATCTTTCTATTTGAATGCTGCTAGATTCTGAGAATTACTCCAAATTTGATTATTTAGACAAAATTAAACTGTAATTTTATGTCACATTAAAAATGTAGTAATTACAACAACCCCGACAACAACCCTTTCAAGAAATTGCCATAAATGTTTAATTGTGGCGTTAATTATTATCAATGGTTAAATATTGAGGTAAGACTTTTGATACCTATAGTTGTAAATATCTAAAATATCATTAAACGTAAATGTGTAAGATCGCTTAAAACCATAATATAGGTACTTTTTACGGGCCAGAATCGCAGATTTAGAATATTTTTCCCACTTTGGAAGTCATTTTAGTAACTTTTTGTTCATTGCTCTATTTTATTTTTGTTTTATTTGGTTTAATTTTTATTTTAATTTCTTTGTTTCTGTAAATTTTTCTATTAACTTTATAGTTTCATATGGTACAAAATATTTATCAAACCCGCATTCCATGAGCGATTAGGTGTCTACAGTGTAGACTAGCTCTAGCATGACTTTCCCAAGAAATATTTAAATTCCTAAAAGGCAACGGCTGGATTTCTTCTTAGAAATATCACTAGAAACCGTAAGAATTATTTTTGAAATCTTGCTGGAAAAGCAACAAAGAAGTCTTAGAAACCGCTTTAGCAATCTTCTTGTGAATATTTCTTAGAATACCTTTCCACAATTCTTTTGGAAAGAGTAGGTATTAGTAGTTTTCTCAGAAGTATTTATAGTGTTTTCAGGAAACTTATCTGAGCTGTCTTCCTGAATCTCAGAAGAGCAATTTTTACAATTTTTGCAGACTTCCTAAACAATTTTCAACAATGACTGTTAGTAGAGAAAATCTGACTGTAAATGCTAATTAATTAATAACTTCAATTTTAATTGAATTTTTATGTACGTATTGTTAGGTTCCTTTTTTTGTCGCTTTCAAAACCCTACAAGAAGTTGTATTTTGGTTTCTTTTGTTGTTATTTTAGGTTAGGGTTAATATTTAGTCTTATAATTAGGAACTTTCTTTTGAGTTTTGTTGGTGGTTTTTATTCCAGTGGCGTACCATTCGCTAGAATTCCTTTTAGTTTTCTTTGTGATTATAAATTTGATTTGAAATACGCCTGTATTTTCCTTATATCCATTGTTCCGTTTCTACCCTCTTCCTATTTCCTTTGCTTCTTTAATTTCTTCCCTATGGTTTTATGCTCGTATTATCTTTCCACGTTCTGCGTAATTGCTTCTTTGGTTTTCTCTGTAGCGTGCTCTGTCGTTTGTTTTGTTGTATTAATTTCTCCGCCTTGCGTTTATTTTCCCCCTTTTTGTTATTTCCGTCTAGTGTCCGTTACTTTTTAATTTTTTCCCAAATTTCGTCCTTTATCGTTGCGAGCCGCCCATATTTTGGGGATTTATAGATAACTCAATTACACGCAGTTTAATTATTCCACGATTATAATAACAATCTTTCGATGTGCGCTTCTGTTTCATTGTCCATAAGTACCCCCTTGGGATTATTTTGTTCGTACATCCTATATATTTTTTTAGAATTGTAAATAAATTCCTGTAATTCGTCGTACACCGATTTAGTCTTCTTTAAGGCCTCCAACACCTTGTAAGTATTTCTTTGGTTTGTTTGTCGTGTTTCGTATTGTTTCTCGTTCCCTTTTTAGGGCCTTTTTATTTACTGTACCGGTGTCTGTAATTCTGACGATTTTCAACATATAGCAGTCTCTGGACGACCACCATCAGCCAGCTCCAAAGATCAGAAGACACCGTTTGTGCCATCGTTTTCGTTTCCCTATCTAATCGTTCCTTTCACTATTTTGTACTTCCCTTACCGTTTAAATTTCGTTCCTCCACTCCTCTCCACCCTATTTTCTCCTTATTCTCTACCTATCCCTACGTTACCTTTAACATCGCCTGAGCAATAGACAGCAAGTATACCATCATTAAACAAATTGTTTGTATCTCCCCTCTTGTTTCACCCCAATCATTCCCCGTACATATGTAAAAAAACAAGTTATTTTTGTATTTTGAAGGAGTCCCAGGCGAGATTAAACATTATTTTTTTACATAGTGATGAAATTATCGGACTTTTTTTAACGAAAAATCGTATGGAAAGTGGTACTTTTTTTCATGATTTTTACTATGCGTTTCCATGGAGTTTAGTCCTGTCTATGAACATTAGCAAATTGGGAACTCTTCACACAAGTCCTCGTCCCTCCTAATCAAGACAATCTAAATGTTAAAACCATTACCTCTTCCATCATAAACGCTGCTGACGGCAGCATATCTAAATCTAAACCTGGCAATAGGCGAAAGATGGTCCCGTGGTGGTCACCTGAAATCAAAGAAAAAATAGCATTAAAGAAAAAAGCTCTAAATAAATTTCGTCGAAATCCTACGTTGGAGAATCTTGTAGAGTTCAAAAAACGAAGATCTCAGTGTCGTCGGGGAATACTAGAAGCCCAAAGAATTTCATGGCAACATTATGTAACAACCATGACACCAGAGACTACCAGTAATGATGTCTGGAAGAAAGTCGGAGCTATATCTGGAAAAAACAGCTGCAGTCATCCGGTGTTTTTGCGCAAATCCGATGGAATAATTACCAATAAACTGCAAGACATAACTAACATAATTGCAGATCAGTTCTATAAAGTCAGTAGCTCGTCAAACTATTCCAACACCATTCTAGATACCAAACCTGAAAAAGAAGCAGTATTAATTGACTTTAACACAGATGATATACAGAACTGTAACGTACCTTTTACTGTAGAAGAATTGGAGGCAGCAATCCGTAACACCAAGTCATGTTCACCGGGAGAAGACGCTATCCATAACCAGATGCTTCGCCACTGTAGTTCTGAAATGAAAAATACCATCTTAAGATTCTTCAACAACTGCTGGAATGATTCTACTACCCCTCAGAATGGAAGCAAGCCATCGTAATTCCTATACCGAAACCAGGAAAAGATCCGTTGCAGGCACAAAGTTATCGCCCAATTAGTTTGACATCTTGCTTGGGAAAACTGCTAGAAAAAATGGTTAATGTGCGGCTACAAACATTTCTCGAAAGCAATAACGTATACGTGCCTTACCAAACTGGTTTTCGGAAAGGACGGTCAACGGTAGACCATCTGGTCAAACTGACAGACAGAATTCTGAGGGCATTTGACAGTGGTGAACATCTGGTTGCGGTCTTCTTCGATATAAAAGGTGCTTATGACATGACTTGGAGATATGGAATATTGCAAAATATGTATAAAAACAATCTTCGAGGGAATTTACCTAAATTTATAAAATCCTTTTTAGAGGATAGGAAGTTCTGTGTAAGAATCGGCGATATCAACTCCAAAGAGTATGTTTTAGAAAATGGTGTGCCGCAGGGGTCAACACTCAGTTGTTCCCTGTTCGGCATCGCCATAAATGAAATAGCCAAATGTGTTGAGGAGTCAATTGATAAATGCTTATACGTAGACGATTTAATGGTTTGTTGTTCTGGTAAGACGGTTGGCACAATAACTCGAAACCTACAAACGGCAATTAACATCATTTGTCATAACGCCATTGCTGTCGGGTACGTGCTGTCGGAGGAGAAGACAAAGGTTGTTCACTTTTGTCGACTCCGTAAGCCCCACTATGACCCCGTTTTGTTTATGAACAATCGTATAATCAGTGTTGTCCAAGAAGTCAAGTTCCTCGGACTTACCTTTGATAGGGAATTACGATGGTCAAAGCATTTGGAGAATGTTGCGGCTACATGTAGAAAATCGCTGAACATTATGAGAGTTCTAGCTCATCATAGGTGGGGAGCTCACCCTAAGACCCTCCTAGATATTTATAAGGCCCTCATCCTGTCAAGGATGGATTATGGATGTGCAGCGTACTCTACATGTGGCAGTAATACTTTGCTTGAGAAACTTGACAAGATTCAGAACCTGGCCATTCGCTACTCTTTGGGAGCATATCCAACAAGTCCGGTAACATCGCTCCACGTCGAGGCAAATATTCCCCCTCTAGCTCTACGCCGGAAACAGATTGTTGCAAACTATTATATAAAAGTAAGGATAGATGATAAACATCCAAATTTTATATCACTTACTGATGCAACTACAATTGCTCGGCTAAATAGATGTAGATCGTTAGGTGTTAGAGCTAGAGAGGTATTAAACTATCTCCAACTGGATAACGTTGACTTTACGAATATGTCATCTATTGCACGACGTGAACTTGTGAAGACGAAAATTTATGAGCGGTGGAGTGAACAGTGGTCGGAGACTGATACGGCTTTGAAGAAGATCAAACAGAGTCTGGATCCGCTATTTTATATCGACGTTGGGCGTTTGAACTTGATCAGGCTGTACAGACTCCGGCTGGGGCATACTGCCCTCACTCATGGATATTTGTTGGCGGGCGAAGAACGGCCACTATGCGAACAATGTGGTGTTATTTTAACACCACATCATATTATTTCTGTCTGTCCGCAGTACACAGATGTACGTGTGCTCTTTAATATCGACCCTGCATGGGAAAATAACTTTAAAAACAAAGAGCAATGTAAAAATACTCTTGCCTTTATCCAAAGAATTGGTATAGCAAATGATCTATGATATTTTTAAATTGTTGGTTTTGTATGTTAATAAATGTAACTAGATCCGTTTCTGTCCCATTGTACTTATATAGTCATCTTTTTCTGTGTAAAAGTATGTATAAAGGCGAATGGCCCTAGAAGCCGAAGCCTCAGGTGGGGTTTTAGTGGGTGAGAGTCCCACACTACTCCGGACTTTTCCATCCGGAGTGTGCATAATGCATTTCCCCACCTGACAAAAAAAAAAAAAAAAAAATAGCATCCATTTTTGTGTGACCATTAATCGCGAATGTCAATAAAATTATTCAATTGTGGGTTATTATGGATCACTATGCAAAAAAATTTCGTGCACAGCACGTGTTGAAAGTGTCTTTTTTCCGTGAATTTGCTTGATTAACTCGGGCTTCGCCCTTATTAATCAAACTGCAAATTCATGAAAAAAAGTATCACTTTCAAAACTAGTTGTACAAATAACTATTGTAGGTTTCCAAATATAAGTTCAAATGGTTCAATTAAAATTAAAATTCGACTATATGTGGTGTCACCTCAAGGAACTTAAATAGGTAATATTACACAAAATCAGCTTTTACCGAACTTTGATTTTCCACAAAGGGCATATTGTTTCAAATGCAACATCCTACCCATAAAGCTCTGGTATCTATATATTTTTCACTGTATATCTAACAAAATGGTATGAGAGGCACTATTAAAAGAACATAACGATCTTGTTTGCGTATGCAACGAGTATATGTATGTGAATTTAAGGCAAACATACGTTAAGGGTTGAAGCACAATCCCTTATTATTATTGTTTACGTATCGTGATTCTGCTCGTATATGTATCTCACAGCTTTGGATATATAGAAATCCGTCCTAATGAAATTGATAGATTTTTATACAGAAAACTGACGGATTCTGCGGCGAGCGCTAGTTTCGGCTGTCGTAAATCCCTTTCAGATGAAATTGTGGTTGGCAAAGATGTGTAGTAATTTCATTTGGCGGAGACAGTAATATCAACCCGCTCAGGCTAAGTTTTTACATAAATTCTGGCAAAACTTTACAAGTTATATTTAATTGAGGTACCCTCATGCACGCATAAAACAACCACCATTTAATTAATTTTAAAATATAGGTGGGCAAAGTACTGGACAAATTATAGGAACTCGTATAACTGCATTAATTTATATAAGAACAAGAGGATTAGTTAACTAAACTTGCTACATTCGTGTTATATGAGTTATGCAGATGCATCTCGAAAACGGAGAATAATGTAAAGTGGTAGTGTAATGAATCACTCGGTTTTTTGCATTGATATACGAAGTGCTCGAAAACTTACGCCAATTGTCTCAATTCAGAGTAGTCCCTTGTATCAAAAAGGGCTTCTAACTGTGAATTCAAATGCGTAATTATTAGCTGTAGAACCATATTTTCGTGAAGTGAAAGTTGACTAAAAATAGATATCACTTCACTGACAGAAACGCGAATGAGGGTGGAGAAGTTAGGAAACGTGGAGAGCGAAGTGAACATTTCTAATTACAGCGTTTCGAAATTACTGGTGATACCGAACGAAAGTAGACTTGAAACCACCACAATAACGTACTTAACTGGATTTGTAAGGGTTAATTATGAGAATCGATTCACTCGATCGTGTACTTGCAAGTTATAGCTGATAATATAAGAAGTTTCTAAAACTAGTGTCGCTCAATTCGTATAGACGCATAGACCTCTGAGTTTAGATATAAACTTAATTTAACAGTGGTTGATACATGCCCCTATTGCAATTCCATCTGAACTACACTATAAAATGAACGATTTTGATAATCTGCTTCGCTAGCGTTTCTGTTGAGCGTCGAAAAGGGACGTACATAACGAGTACAATTAATCTTTCCGCCCATGTGACTCATTTGTAAGGTAAGGTTGGGGCATTTAGCAATGATTATTAATTATACCCACTGCTATCAATTGCAGAAAATGGACCTAGTTTATAAAAAGTTTATCGATAATGTAGGTAGACATTCATTTCAGTTTTAGTTCTTGATGTTTTGCCTCGAGTTTTGCTTCGAGGTCAATTTATTGTTAATTGCACCCTTCATACAAAAGTACCAATAATTATTCAATTTTAAACGAACTTACTACCTAAGTGAAGTTCTACTAGCCAGTAGCCACGAATTTCTTTATGGCCCTGACTAATAAATAGGCATAACTTTAGATTTAAAAATCTAGATGTGACGTTTCGCAAATTGTGTGCTCAAAACTTGTTACACGCGCTTTATTATAGTAATACGCGTAGCAAACAGAGTAGCTGACTTAATCGAAATAACGAACTCGAAGTCGTTCTGATTTTAGATGCCCAATATGGGTAAAGTGCGTCCTCGTTTCATTATAATAGTGTTAATGAAAACAAAAAAACGTTTAAACGGACGACGTTTATTTAGCGCAATTCATAGGTCATATAGATCATAAGAATAATTGGAGGCCGTGACTAAATGCACAGAATTTGATGGTTATGCGATAAAAGCAATAAAAGTCCAAGAATTTAGGCTTCTAACAAGTGTGTCTAATTGCTTTATGTGATTTGAAGGAGTGGATATTTTTGGAACTTGTAAAAAAAGCGTTCGGGTATGTAGTCAAGCATACCCGTTGTAGATGTAGATGTACAAATGTGCAGTTTAGAAGTATTTGTTAACTATATTCAGAGCGAACCCACTATCGGAATACTTCACTATAAGGTAAACTCTTTTCAATTAAAATTAATTAATTGAATTAGATATTTTCAAGTAGCTATAATCCTATATTCTTTGTGTGACCGGATCTGAATAAATGCAACAGATGGGGACGGACTTATTTACTATATAACAATTTTTTTTTCTATTTCGGGGCTTTAATTTAATTAAAAAGTAATTATGAAAAACTACAGGAAGCTTTAGAATTAATATGTCTTAAGTTGGCAACACCATTTACGTTGACAAATTTTAAGTTGGTAGCGTAGATAAACACAACACTGACATTTGGAAACTTTAAATTCCGTGAATGTGTAATTTTTTATTCGTAGATAAATTTATTTATGGTGGATGTGTAAATTGCTGATTTGGAATGTATTAAGTTCTTTGCGTACCAAAAATCAAGGAAAACACATAAATTTTACGTACGTAATTTGATTTCATATCTGATGATTTGACGTTGACGTGTTGGCGAACTGCCAACTTATAGATGAAAAGTTACCAAAAACAATGTTACAATGGAACTCATTGAAACACTGTTTTTGCCGAAAACAGTTGCACAAAATTCTCATTGTAACACCGAAATAGAAAATAGTTATTTGTTTCATTAGTACAAAAAATGTCAGTTTTCGGGACGAGGAAGATAGTTGCTGGACGACGCGTTAGCGGAGTCCAGCAACCTTCCGAGTCCCGAAAACGCATTTTTTGTACGAATAAAACATAAAATTTTTTCTCCAACCCCCTGTACTTCAAATTATATTCGAATTTAGATTCAGTCACAGTTTCACTACTATAGTATAAGAACTTCTGCTTTCTTGTCCTCACGTGTCATGCCACTCTAGTTTTTAGGTTAACTTATTACCTATTCGTTCTTACTTCTTACTTCTCACCTCTCGCGACTTTGTAGGGAGCAAATCTTGAGGTAGCATGTTCTGCCGTTTCTATAATCTCTGGCGGAGTGCAATCCATGTCGCTATCAGTTTCAGTCATTTTATTGTATACACAATTAATATTGTTATATTTTGTATTGAAATAAAATACTTACCATACAGTTTTTTAATTAAAATTAATTGCAATTAACTTTTTCAAATTTTGAATTCAAAATGACAGATAATAGTGCAATG